GATGGTTGGACTGGATGATCTTATAGGTCTTTTCCAACCTTAGTGATTCTGTGATTCTGTGATTCTGTGGATGGGCTCTCCTGTGCCCTGAGGGCTGCCCTGAAGTGACAGCACCACTAGGTCTGCTCAGCAGTTCCTTCATCGTCCTGGAAGTGTTGCCTGGTTGGCTGCTTTGTTTGTAGGGTTCTAGAGCTAGTCTTTAACACCCAACTCTGGAAAGATTGTAATGTAAGGCCTAAACACAAGATTTCTTTTACTTAGCAGTTGACAAGTCAGAAAGCATACAGGTAAATGTGTGTTTTGACTAGATGCTTGTTTTATTTTGTTTTGGCTCAAAGAAATTGCTATTTCACAGAATCACAGGACTGTAGAGGTTGCAAGGGACCTCTGGGGAGCACTGAGTCCAACCCTCTGCTATAGCTGGTTCCCTACAGCTGGTTGCAGTAGGTTTACGAGATTTCAGATAATAGTTAAATGTTGCTTAATTTATGGTCAGAATACATAGATAGTACACATGGCAGAGGCAAGTTACCAGAAGGTCAGAAAGGAAAAATTATGAATTATTTCTATATAGTAAAATATAGCTATTTGCTGAAGCTTCCACTAAAGTTAAACTTTGTTTTCTTATGATTTATGACCTCAGGTTTTGCCTACATAGTCTCAGCATGCTTATAATCTACTTATGAAAAAGATTTTTCTTCCATGGGAGTTCTCAAAAATTTGTTGATAAGAACTTTGAACAACCTCCCTGGCCTGCAGGTAATCAAACACCTGCCACAGTGATGGGCTCCGCCTTTAAACTAAAAGAAGGATATAAACACTTATTATGGAACTGAATGCAACATGAGGGTGGTGTCTCTTCACTTCCTTGGGTGGCCACATCAATTATGCTGTGGTAAGAACTCACTCTTTGACATACTTGAAGGAACAGTTGGGAGATAGAATCATATTTGTTTCTTTCTTTATATGAGCTGAGTCACATTGAAGAAACTGTGCCATTCTTTTTCAGTGCTGGAATGGCAACTCTCATCTAACTACTTAAACGTTGAAAAGGTACATGAGAAAGAAAGACTAAAACAAAATTGGTCCTTTTCATAGCCAGGCAGTGGCTTTTCTCTTAAACACCATTTAGGTGAACATGCTTGGGGACAGTTCTTGTGTTGAGCCCCATGCAGTTTGGATTCATTGTCCTGCCAAGCAATCCCCTGCTTCACAAATCGGCCAGTGGAATAAACAGGACAATGACAAGATGAGCTGTGTGTCAGACAGGCTGCAACATGACTTAGTAGTTTACACCATGCTGTTTCATGTGTTACTGCTTTCCACAGTGGAAATGGCAAGACAGGACAGAGGCCAGAGAAGACTCTTTAACAGCACCCCCCTTTCATCCTTCTCTTGTAAATATGACCCTGTTCTGACAGCTTAGGTCTGATTAATGGGCTTGAAGCCCACAGATGGCACAAAGCCTTTGGGACTAGAATTCAGTGGAGTGTCTAATTCCAAATGAAAGGACACACAATAAATCTTTAATCTATTGGGAGCTGACTGGGGCAACTGTTCATACAGCAGCAGCTTGTATTCAGACAAGACACACTCTCATCACATTCATTAAAAAAAAAAAAAAAGAGAGATTAAACTATTTAAGATTAAGAACAGTAAGGAAAACTGCCTACAATTATCACTGCTAATTATTACTTGAAGCTGTAAAGCCAGTCCTTTGCCTGTTGCCATTGAAAATTAGGATTAGACAGTGTCACAGCAGTGTATTTGCAAGCTCTAGCCATGGCTTCATCTCTCACTGACAGTGTGCTGAAGGCTTGTCCCAACTACAGGAAATAATCACATTTCAGGATTGTTGCTGTACAATATTGCACCTGGAGTAAAAGGTTTATTAGTCAGAATGCAGGACATGAATTCCACCCAAAGAAATTAGTGAAAGTGGTGTTGCCTGCTATAGGCTTCTGGGTCTGAAACTAGACATAGATCTCTATGAACACACAGCTCTTAGGAGTGAGATGGTAGAGGGGATACTACAGATGTCCTTCTGCTTCAGGAAGCTTATTAGTACTCCAGCAGGATCCAGAAATCCTTGAGAAGGATTATAGGTTCATTGCCTGAGGTCTGTGCAGACTCGTATGGAAATGCAGCCTTTGCTTCCTCAGTCACTGAGGTGGGATGTGAGAGGACCAATTACTATGCTTTACAGATAAAGATGTACAGATTACACCTGAAAGCTGGAGGGATGCTAGAGCAGTAGTGTATTACAGAAAGTTAATTATACAGAGTCTGAAGACCATATTCCTCTCCATTCTTACCTGTTAAATGAGCAAGGCCACCTCCATGTAGAAAAGGTGGCAGGAATATGGTGTAGAAATAAGAAATACCCGCATATCTGTAGACAGTTCTACAAAGAGAAATGATCTCAGCTGCTGTGATAAACTGAAATTTGGAGTGGAGAAAAGAACTTTTTTTGCCTGATGCCATCCAGCACCAGAATCAGCTAAGCTTTTAGGTGTGACAGGGCCAGGTTCTTCAAATTATTATTTATAAAGCTGTTGCTTTTAAGAGAAATGCCCACCCCTTAGTTAGAGGAAGCAATAATATTTCAGGGTGATTTAGGTGTTAAATTTTACACATGCACATTTAATCAATTTTAGAATTCAGAATACAGGGTACTAAGAAGAAGCAGGATTTAAAAAGATACCAATTTTGGCAGCCTAGATTGTAATTTTAAGCTGATTGGCAAAAATGAGTCTCCAAAGATAGGTTCACAGTCAACCTCCTGTAGGATTTTGCTTATGATGTCAAGACTTTCCCTGAATGCAAAGTGCTCCTCTGCCAAACTGTGCATATATATTTAACAAGTGAAATCAGATTAAAGCTGAAAAGCAAGCTTGTTTGCATGGTGCTATCTCAGGCTGGCAGCTGCTGCAGCTGATTTTTAAAGCTGTTCTCCTTTTAATGTTGTTCTCTTACAGAACACATAGAAAATCCTATATATCTTCATCTCCTCCATTTATTCTGGGTCACAGAGAGATTCTTGCTTGAGCAAATGGTATGACCAACTGCTCTGACTGGCAAAGAGCACATTCAAGAGAGGGAGACTAAAGCAGCTGGCAGACAAGATAATTCAGCGTTTAATTTGCAGGCTGTCTATTCTGTCACTGATCTTTCTCAGTGCATATACCCTTCTCAGGAGGGTTAGGGACTGCCTTATTGCTTAACATATTACACTGTTATGTCATCGTCATCCTGCCTTATTTTTCAGTGATTAATGCAATTATAATTTCTGAAATTTATTCTAAATTTTTCGTAATGTTGAAACCAAGGGACCTTGGTTGCTGATTGAGCTTCTAAAGCTTTGTTCAGTTGAACTACCATTCTTACACACACACACAGACTTATGTTCCATCTCTACTGTCCATGATGACGTTCACTTTACTATTTTGGCTTACTGAATTTTCTAAAAAAACTGACCAGTTTTTGGTCAAAGGCTATTCTTGAGGTTGTCAGAAGATCAGTAATCTCTCTTGGTCTCTACTTCTTCTTTAATGAAATAATTACTTCAGTAAAACTGCAGGAAGGGAAGTAGTATGAGTGTGTAAGATCTATCAGATCTTCATTGTTGGTGCATTTAATGCCTTACACATTCACATGTAGTGTGTATCATAGAATTGTTAGGGTTGGAAAAGAACCACAAAATCATTTAGTCACACTGTCAGCCCATTACCACCATGTGCACTAACCACATCCCTCAGTGCCACATCTACACAGCTATTGAACACCTCTGGGGACAGTGACTCCACCATCTCCCTGGGCAGCCTTTTCCAATGCCTCACCACTCTTGCTGAGAAGAAACTTTTCCTAATATCGAACCTGAATCCCCCCGGCACAACTTGAGACCATTCCCTCTCATTTCTATTGCTAATCATCATAATCAAGATATTAATGTACTGAAAAGCATACAGCATTTGAGCAATACTGTGTTGATCACCTCTGCCACAGAAGAACTTCTAACAGCAGACCTCTCTTGTGCCTTCAGTTTGTCAGGAAACAGTCTGGGAGGTCTTCAAGACATTCTGGGATAGACTGCCAGAGCGTGAAGAGTATCACACCTGGATGAGCCTGTGTGAGGAAGGAACAATGAGCATTTTTGAAATGGGCATGAACTTCAGTCAATCTGAGGAGCACCGAAGTCTGATTGTGAAGGTGAGTGCCGCACCAGGTCAGTGTTCTCTCCTAAGCAAGGGTATAATGTTCCACCACTAAAACCTGCTCAGTATATGACAGGTGGTAATATGTGGGGGTAGCTAAAATTTATGGGTATGAATATTCCCAGCTTTTGGATCTGTCATTCAGAGATCAGGCTGTCTTAAAGCCTATAAAGTGCCTATAAAGTGGTCTATAGATCTTTCTTTAAAAATTACAATTTCTCCTATCTTTGCAAGCTAGATGAAACATAGGAGAAATCTTACAAGTCTGATCAGAATCAGTAATGTTAGGCTAGTATGGACATGCTGTTGTTTTTCCTTTCTGTTTTTTTGTGGACTCCTGTGCTGGGAATGTGCACTGAGGATGTGAGCGTGGAAATTACTGTGGTTAATGGGGAGAGAATTTTTCTGCAATTAGCCTGCATGCTACTGTTCACTGCTGGATACTAGCCAAAGTTTTCTTCTGTGATGTCTTGTGGTACTGTGGTCCTTAGAAGACTTCACAAAAAGATGTGGACACTTAAACAGAACCAAAAATTTGTTGATGTGTTGGGCTCAAAGGATCAAATTAAATAGGGTTACATCAAGCTGGTGGCCAGTTACTAAGTGGGGTTCCCCAGGGCTCAATTCTGAAGAGAACTGGCCCTGATGACTTGGATACATGGATTGAAGGTATATCAAGTAAATCTGTGGATTAGGAGCTGTTGACTGCCTCAAAGGTAGAGAGACCTTGCAGAGAGATCTTGACAAATCAGAGGGCTGACCAATCACCAGCTGCATGAAGTTTAACAAGAGCAAGTACCAGATTCTGCATCTGGCTAGGGCAACTCTAGCTGTATGTAGAGATTGAGGGGTGAGAGGCTGGAGATGGGCTGTCCCACTCTATTCTGCACTGTGCAAACTCACTTTGAGCACTGGGTGCATTTGTGGGTGCCACAGTGTAAGAAGAACATGAAACTACTAGACAGTGTCCAAAGGCAGGCTGCGAAGATGGGGAAGGGTCTGGAGGGTAAAAGGTGCATGGACAGAGCTGATGGAACACCAGTGTGTGCTAAGGGGGATTTAAAGCTGTCACCAATATGTATTATACAGAATATCACAAATCCATCAGATAACTTGAATACAAGAAACAAAAAAAAACCCATCAGCACCTCAATTTATATTTCAGACAAACTGAAGGCGAGAGCATTCTGTCTCATCCCTGGCCAGCCAGCTCAAAAGGTCTCATGGTGTATTTTTTAATACACATAGGTCAGTGTGGATTTAATTGCTATTTCTAGTACTGAGTCACTCTTTCTCATACGTGCTTATGCACAACTTGCTTGTCAAAGGATGAAACCTCTTCAAAGCAGCTCTGAGAATATTAAGTCCAGAGGCAGTGGTATCACTCTGCTTTTAAGAACATCCTTCCTCCTGCCAGTTGCTTGCTCCAGGTTAATGTGGTGGTAGCAGGTGGTGCCCAGCTCAGCCTGTGGTACCAGGTGCATGTTTTAAAGCACTGTCCTGTTTTTTTTGCCACATTCACCAGCTAAGTTGACCAAGCTGCATAGGAAAGCTTTTCTCTTACTCATGGGAATTTTGCTTCTCTCATTACAGCATATTCATTCATTTATTTAGTAAGCTGTGACCATATTTATTTATATTTATTCCTTAGATTATATTCTATAAAACATGTAGCATTTCTTACCTTAGGACTGCCATCATTTCACAGCATGCACAATACCCTATAGCATTAAATGTGTGAACAGTCCATACACTCAGTCACTTGAATGGAAGAATCACTCATGCATTGAGATGCAGAAAAGCAAAGTATGTGGTCAGTGTCAATACAGCCTGTAAATTCTATGGCCATTACACACATCATTAAATAATCCTGGCTTTTAATCTTCCTTTGCTCTCTTGTGTTTGTGAATCATCTGTGGTCAGCAGTTTAGCCTAGACCCTGCAACTGAACAAAGCATTTACGTGTTATGCATTACTATGGCTATTACTGTCATAGTGCTTAGATATTTTTTGAAAAATCTCAAAAGGGAGGAATGTCAACAAAAGTAACTATAGATTTCCTGACAGCCACTGTGAGATTTACACACTGCAGCCAACCAACGATTTATGCCATTCATAGCAACAGCTACTGCAGGGATACGATATCTCTTCTTGAGGTACCCACCTCAAAAAATGGGCACATTTTTTTACTTTATAAACTCTGGAAATAATAAAACAGTTCTGGTGTGGCCAGAAGAAGTGTTTTGACACTGTCTTTCCTGCTTTTCTGTTCTTTCTTAATCTGAAGATCTGTTAGGGCTCCTGTCAAGTTTTCGGATATTCATAAATCTTCCATACAGGCATCTGCTGCTGACAGTGATTAGAAAGAAAAAGTCAAGCTAGGTGTACTGAAGGTCTTCAAATGACAAGTTTTTGTTTCCTTTTTTCTTCATCAATCTCTAGCATGTACAGAAAACTAAGTACAAGGAATTGGCACAGATTATATCACAGGATGCTGCACTGAATCTTTGAGCGTGAAGCATCAAAATTAAAGGAGTTGAAGGTGTGAAAAGGGAGGGGAAGGAGGAAAAATGTTTTTTTCAGGATGTTAAGAAAGATGTGAAGTCAAGTTGAGCCCATCCCTGTATCATTGGTAGTTCTTTTTAAAAGCAAAAACAAAATCACAACATGCAGAATACATTGTAAGCATTCAGCTTCTGTTGAATGATACTGGTGGTTTTTTTTTTTACCTTATTGCTACCTTGCACGTACTTTGATTGCTTATATTCTTAATAGAGCCTCAAGTGATTTCACATTGTGAATGTGATGCATGACTAATAGTATATATGGTACTTCAGCAAGAAAAAATGACAAATCTTGTTATGAATATCCACGAATCCATAAATGTACTGCAATTACAAGTGGAAGAAAACTACACATTCTGGGGAAGAAAAAAAAATCTTTACCAACTAATTTCTATAAATGGATTAGGTCATGAATCTTTTCCAAAGGAAAGGATGTGATGTTTGGATGCTGATGAGAGAAGTATTTGGGCTGTGCTCTCTTTGGTGGGGCTGAGAACAAAAAGTTAAGCCACAGAAAGAGGTTTGTAATACAGCTTTGTCTGAGAACCAACAGGCAGTTAGGAAAGCAGGGCATCTCCAAGGTAGTGACAGGAGATACCCACCAAAATTCAGTTCAGAAAGCTCCTGGGCCAAGAAACAAAAGCTGTAGCTATGTTGACTCAGCAGCACACGTGTTTAGTATTGACCTTTCACAGTCTGTCAGCAGCTCTATCTGTTCTGGAGCATGGACTAAATATTTCTGGATGCCACAGCAAAATGCCTCCTTAGCATGCTGAAATGGGCACTGAGCAGTGTCATCTGAGCTTGCCTGAATTCTGAGTTTCTTCAAAGTAATGAGTCAGCACCTCACTGCCACTGTTTAAACACTGCCTCCTATTTTTAACCTCTGATCATCTCATGTAGTAGGTGATCTTGTCTTCCTGTAATGCAGAAAGACCTCTTCTCCTGTCTGTCTTCAGCCTTTCCTGTGTCCTTCCTTGCCAACATGTCTTTGTCTGTTTAATCCAATGTCTTCATTACAGCTTTCAGTATATTTTGATAGCTGACTAAGATAACTTTATATTTTTTTCCTTGATATAAAGTATATCCAAGTTCTTCTAAATCAGAAAAAAAAAGCAGATCTCCTCTGCACTTTCAGCACCTCCCCTTTCTCTCTCTCCGCCTGCTTAAGGATTCAAAAAACTTTCTTCCATTGCCCTCCTAAAAAGTTCTTTTAAATTATCTTCATTCTCTTTCTTATCCCCACACTTATTGTTTTCCCGTCCTCCTATTGACTTTGGCTCTTTTTGCACTGCTAGTCTTACACTTCTCTAATTTTAAAACAAAACAAAGAAACTGAAACATTCAGAAAATGTCACTATATGTTCAAATCAATAAACTCCAGTTGCTTCTCCAAGTCTTATTTCATCTCCCTTTCATCTCTTCAGCTCCTTCTGTGTGGATTCTCTCTCTGGTCATTCTCCTCCAGTTCCAGCCTGAATCTTCCTTTTTAATCTCCTTTGACTGCAGAGGACAGAACCTGTCAGCCATGAGACCTGTGTTCACATCTTCCAGGCAGAGCTCAGAGTCAATATTTCATCCTCATCGTCCTTGCCTGATCAGCTCCTTTACCTGGCAAATCTGCAGTTGTTCTTTGTTTTCTCTGTTTTGCATCTCATTTCTACACAGCACTGCTGAGGAATCATTTCTGTCATGAGTGTTCACCTCGGCTTTGGAGTTGATTCCTCCTGGACAGACTGGACCTTCAGCTAATTTCTAACATTACACCATGGATCTCTAGCTTTTGCTTTAAGTTGGATATGGCTAAAACATCTTCTACCATATTTCTCTGCTATCTCTCCTTTTGCTCATTGTAGGCCATCTTTGCATGTCAACTGTCAAAACATTGCTAACCATCCTGGCCTTTCCCACCAGCTTCCATTCTGGATTTTGTCATCCTTCCTCTTGAATTCTTCCAGTGCCTCAGCCTTGCCCCTGTGAGAGGATGGTTCTGTAACACACTGTGGTGGGTGAGCAGGACAGGCAAAGAAAGAATGTTTTCTTGGTATGACTTCCCTGTGTCAATAATGTGCACAGGTGAGTTGAATCAAACACACCTGGTACAATCCTACACAGATGGTATTAAACTAACATGAGATTACTGATTTTTTTGACGTTCCCTCCACCTTTTTCTCCTGCCTGGAATTATCTCCAGAAAAGATATTTTGTCTTCTGTGCCTCAGGATTGTCTCTTAGGATCAGGCACAGGTATTCCATATAACTGCTTTTCAGCAGTTCATGAGTTGAGAGAAGCTCATCCATCTGGTCAGTACTGTGTGTGATTTAGAGTTGGTGGTAGCCTGTATTTATCACTATGCATCGTAACAATATTTGATGATTTTGGATTATATAAAACTAATTGCAGGCTGTTGAGAAGGATAAGCACCAGTGCAACTGACAAAAAATTTATTTCCTAGCTTTGGAAGAGCTGGTATGATAATGTTAGGAGATGCCAGAGGCGGCTCCACTGAGTGAGGCCTTTCCCTGGAGTTATGGTGTGGCTACTGCTGCTGTGTGTGACTATTTGTAGATAACTTCAGGTGTTCAGTGGGTAAAGATATTAGTCCCTGCAGGTTCCTTTGCAGTAGGTAGGAACATGTTTATAACTTCCATCTTGCATGTAAAGGAACTGAGTCATATAGGAGAGGTGGTTTGGCCTGGGTTATTCTGTACTGAGAAACCAAGCCAGAAGTAGAACTTTGGAGCTCCATACTTCTAATTAGAGGGAAAAGTTTCCTGTTTGCTGTGAAATTCAAGTATATGTCCTCACCCCAGATGGGAATGTATATTTCTCATATAAAGGAGCAGAAAGCAATCGCTACAAAGCGTTGCAGACTGTGCCAGCTTAGCAATTGGGAGATGCTTCATTTCCACATTCTCAGTTGGAAAATCAGAAAAACAACAAAAAAACTCAAGCCAAACATTTAATATTACTCAAAAACAAGTCTTGTATTTCAAACTGGATATTGAGATCATCCTTTCTTTTTGAATATAGTGTAAAATGTCAGATTTTAGGTGTGACATAAAGCTGCAAGATGCCAATAATCTCTCTGCAAACTTTGTATTGGCATATGGGTTTTGAGGGATGCTTGATATTTTATTGGCCAATCCATTTATAATTTACTTTTAAAGTATGCAATTCTTCAAACTTAATAGCACAAAAGATGTGGTCTACCACGAAGAGAGAATATTGTGTTCTGAACTGGGTGAATTAAGGAATAACCCAGCCACCCCATGAAGAGGCCATCATTCATACATGTAGTATTAGGCTTTGCTAGTTTACTACAAAACTGGCAAAGACTGAGATATTTGATACCTTTTTAAAATGGAGATATGGAGACAAGATGTGTCATGTTTGTTACAGAATCACAGAACTGTGGCGGTTGGAAGGGTCCTCTAGAGGTCACTGAGTCCAACCCCACTGCTAAAGCAGGTTGCCTACATCAGGCTGCACAGGAAAGTGTCCAGACGGGGTTAGAATATCTCCAGAGGAGACTCCACCCACCTCTCTGGCAGCCCGTGCCACTGCTCCAACGCCCTCACAGTACAGAAGTCCTTCCCAGTGTTTGTATAGAACTTCCTCAGTTCCAGTTTGCATTGTTGCTCCTTGTCCTGCCAGTGGGCACCTCTGAAAAAAACCTGGGCCCATTCTAAGCCTTGGCCATCAGAATAATAATTAGGCCTCTCCTGCTTTATCAGTCCTTCTTATGGTTTATCTAACAGAAGATTTTGCAATAGCATGGCATATTAGGTAGGATTTGTGACATGAGGTAGGAAAGCATGATGCCATCAGTTCCTTGGGGCACCCCACCACAGAGTGGGCCCAGAGAACCTCTTGTGGGGAGCACCCTTCCTGCTCATGCAAAATGATCAGTGTTATACTGACCTCTGCTGCCAAAGATTTTTGTGGCTGGGCAAGCAAAGCCACAGGGCACATACTATCCAGAGGCAGAGCACTGCCACTGTGCTTAGGACAATATAGTTTTAAATCAATAGACAAGTCGCAGAAATAATGCATTTCTTAAGATGTCTTCCTGGTAAAGATCTAATTCCTAGTTTCCAGAGCAGCGAGATATCATTGCTCCTGCAGGAAAAGGCAGAAAAGCAGAGCATCTTCTGACACACCTAGTGCTCTTACAGTCTCTGTTGCTGAGTTTCAGTTGTATTTTAGAAATGTACCATGCATTTTATTTTCAGTGAAGGCTTTGTTAGTAAATTCTGAAGTTAACAAATGAACATGGAATAAATGAAAGATAATTGTTTTTGCATTGGAAAGAGACATGAAGTGCATTTGAGCTTCTTCCCCCCTTATGATTCAAATATAAATGGGATTTGTTTGTTTGTTTTCCAGAAACTGTCCTATACAAAGGAAGCAATGGCTGGGTGAGTACGTTTATTTTGCATTTCAGTCTATCTGGAGGTAACAGCAGGATTGAGTTGTGACATTTTGTGATGTTTTCTCTTTTATCTTTTTCTTGTCAGCTCCTGCACTGACTGGTCATGTGGGTAAGTCATTTTCCCTTTTTAAATAGCCTCTTGCTTAGCCCTTTCTCCTGTTCTTGCTGCTGAAGTTGATGAGTGGAAGATGAACAGAGATTGCCTCTGTGCAAAAAGGCTTATAGAAAAGTATGCCATGTGGTGGAGAAATCCTGTGCTTCTTGCTTGTGAGCCTCTCACAGGCTGTCCTAGCATGCTTGGTGTGCTGAAAATATCTCAGCCAATCTGGGGCTTGCACTTTTGCTTAAGTATGTCATCACCTCATTGCCAGTCAGACACGCAGGCAGGCTGTTGACCTGGAGAGGTTTAGTGGGGGAAATCTATTTTGGGAGAGTTGTATCCCCAGTTGCTTGTGTCAGTGTTCTGGCAGCCTTGTGAACCTTTTTCAAAGCTAGACCTGGTCATCAGTATTTAAAAAAAAAAAGAAAGAAGGAAAGAAAAAAGAAAGAATACTTCTGAAATGCTTTTCCAGAAAATGTTAGAGAGGTGTTACAGGCTCCTCACACTTTTAAAAAGGAAATCAAAATGAAAACTTGTCTGAATTCTGACTTCTTTTTTACCAAAGCAAACCTAAACTTGAGCTATTATTTTCATAACTTTTTTTGAAATGGAAGGAAAAACAGTTCAAATTATGACTACTCCATTCTCATAGAATGTAATCTAAAACTGTTATTTTTAGAACAATTCAAACCCAAACAACCTTGTGCTGAACTCCTCTGAAAACTTAGATTCAGTCCCCTGCTTTACCAGACATGTTAAAGCTATGATAAATGAATAATTCATTTACGGGAGAGTGTTCACTCAACAGATTAAAATGAACAAAGAAACACCACACCAAAAAACCCACCCAACACTTAATGCATTATTCCTATATTTCATAATCACAGTATTACATATTAAAATTAATAAAGTGAGATGCTAAGGGCAAAGGTGATGCCTAAGAGGTTGGTTTTTTTCTCTTTCCTTCTGAACTGAACTTTCCTCTGACATGAGCACTCCTCTTAGCTCCTAGGTCAGTTGAATCGTGTAAATCCATACAAAACGTAACATTGACTAAACTTTTTTTGTGCTTTTCTTTTCAAAAAGAAAATAACAAAAATCAGGTGGATTTGCTCTGGATAATGAAGCATCAGAAAGAAATAAACATAATTTAATTCGACAATATTAAAAAAAGTATCTCATTCTAAGAGCATTCTTATACCTCTACTCCAGAAGGTTTAAGATGTGAAGTTTAAGTCAAGATCACAGGAAAACAAAGCCACAATTGGTGTGCCAGGGGTATCATCTAAATTCAGACATCTTCCATCAAGAAAAATGAGAGATATACTTCAGTATTGCCACCAGACAATGTTCTTTCCTTCAAGAACATGCTAGACTTTCCAGTAGACATCAGAATAAATGGAAGATCTTTTTAAAAATTTTCTTTATGAAGTCAAAGTACACAACTCAGGATCACCCAGTCCTTAAGGGATGGTATGAGAAATCCAGCATCAAGACCCTCCTGCACAGGAAGAAATGTGAGTACAGTTCTGCCATTTCCTGGGCAGTGCTGTAATCACCCATGAGCTTTTTTGCAGCAAGTTTCACTGGGGCTGACCTACATGTTCAGGACCTAGTGATCCTGTAGATACGTGTTTAGTGCAGGGCAATACAGTGAATTGAGTGTAGCTGTTTTACCACTTGGCAGTGATATCTCTGTTGGAATGGGGAATTGACCTGGCCTCGTGTCCCAAGAGATAGAGGGAGTATCCTAAAGCACCAACTGTAGATATCTAAAGGAGATGTTCAAATGAGACTCCTCTATTGCCAGAAGAAGATAAGGTTCTCCCCAAGATGTCTTGAAGCAGGAGTGTGCTTTCATCTAACCTCTGGTGAACTTCATTTTCTTTGGTTACTGCACAGAAGCAATTATTTTAGTTCAGAGGCCTAGCATTAGGTGTATTTCTCAGTCTGTTTTTCCCATCAGTAAGAACATAGGAATTGTCAGTAGGTTTGTTGTCTTTTTAGATCATAGGCCAGGCACAAGAAACTAAAAAGTGTCATGTTGGTTTTTTTGTTTTGTTTTTTAATGAGCTTTGAGTTTTGGTTTTTTTTTTTTTTCCCTGTGAGACAATTGCAAGTTCATTTCCCTAATTCAGAGCTGATCTGGAGCTGAAGACAGATTTTTGATATCTGGTATTTTAACTGCATTACTTTTCTAAATTAAAGTATGACTGTGATGAAACCTATAAGCAACTGAAGAACTGAAGCTGTGATTTAAAACATTTAATATGCCCAATACACCTCTACCTATTTATCAATACTGTGTTTTTATCTAGTTGGAAAATGCTCATTTCAGCTAGTTGAATGCTAAAATAGTTTTGATGTAGCCTACAGAAAGGTGGCTTGCACTTGTGATTTATTTCCCAGAATAACTCACAATCCAGCATTACTGGCAATTACATAACAGCAGGATGAAAGTTGTTCCAGTAAGACTCACTCATGCGCGTAGGTTAAACACCTCTCTAGCCTGGCTTTTTAAGGAATTGAGGGATTAAACTAAGTACCATGGAAGAGAAAACCTCAAAGGAAAAGTAATATACAGGAAACAATCTAGATTTTTATAGAGCATTCCAATATAAATTGGAGTTTTTCTTAGACTGGAACTGTGGGAACATCCCATCAGCTATAGGTTTTTAATGACTTCTTTATCCATTAGGCCATTGTGACTTTGCATAATGAATTTTGCTCTTTTAATATTGGAGAATAGCATGTGGAGAATAACATGAAAATAGGACAGTTGTCCTGTCTAGTTCCTGGTGGGTCAAAAAGCAGATTTTAAGAACCAACCGAAGGCAAAGAAGAAGCACAGAAATTCTGCAGTAGGAAGCCATTGCTTGTATGTCATAACCTTTCTCAAATGTATATGCGTTATAGCATCCTGAAGAAAACATAAATAGTATGGGATAGTTGGGAAGGATGAACATAACAGTGTGCTATTTTTTACTTCTTCTGACCCACCTATTAATGTCAAATATAGTGAAATAAGTAGGAACATTTGTTTCTATTTGCTGATTGTGGACTCACTGAAATTAGGCATAATGAATCACGTCCAGACCTCCTTTGTTCTGTCTATGTACGCTGATGTAAATACATTGGCAAATTTAGGATCCATATTTCATTGGTGGTAGCAGCAATGGTTGATGACATATCAACTCAAATTTTGTACCTTTTTTGTAATCATGCCTAATGAAAGAAAAGAGTTTGTCTTCTATTCTGGGATCATTTCAACAGTACATGAAGTCTGCCTGCAGTGGCGTAGAAGCATACCTGAAGCTCTTTTTTGCCTCCATTTGAAGCAACAATTTTGTTTGTTTCAGAAGTTATTGAGCATCTGCACAGCTTTAGCCCATGTGAAGAGTTCCAGGCTGTTCCTTGTTAGTTGTGTATTATCTTTTGTTCTCTCTACTGCCAGATAACAGATATGAAAGATTTGTCCTGCTTTAATTAAAAACAAAAGAGTTCAAAATTCAAGATCTTCCTACATAAACATTAAGATAAATGAAAGTAGAATTTAAAAAATAAAATAAATCTAAATGCGAGGCTCAGTCTTGAATTCTGTATTTGGATAAAATATTTCAGAAATTGCAAGCTTATTTAACTCCATTAGTTACACCTCTGCTTAAAAGGTTTTAAAAGAAGAAAATCAGACCATAAACATATTTGTTTTCTTCCCTTTGAGAAAGGCTTTTTAATATGAGCATTGACACAATAATGTTTAAGAAATGCTTGACTGAGCAAATTAGACTTTGAGACATTCAAATTGGTACATGAGCTGATGAATATCAAAAGCTTGTAGTAGAGATCTGGAAGCAAATTTGTGCAGGAAGTGAGGTTGATCACACCACACTTTCTTAAAACAGCATTTTTATCCTCCTAAGATGAAAGTGATAGCTGTTAATGCGACCAAATTCAGTTCTTTCTTGATTAGATTGATTAGGGTTACACAAGGCTTTATTTAAGCCCTTGGCTTTTAATTTTCAGCCTAGTGTGAGGTAAAATTTTGTCAGAAAACCATCTGTGCTTTAGCGATCTGTATTTAAAAAGTTGAAGGAGGAGGACTAATGCTTCATGGTGGAGCAGGGGCTCCCTGCAGCTCGTGGAGGACTCAAATGGGATGAGGTAGATGTGTCCTCAGGACCTGCAGCCCCTGGGAAGCCAGTAGAAGAGTGAGGAAAGAGGAGTCCCCTGGAGAGCCAAGCAGAAGAGTCAGGAAAGGAGGAGTGAAATTGGACCTGGGAAGGGATGGGGGGAACAGTGGTGTTTTAATGTTTATCTGTTCCTCGCTACACAAATCTATTTTCATTAGCAATAAACTAATTTAATCTCAGTCTGTTTTGCTTGTGATGGCAACTGGTAAGCAATCTTCCTGTCTTTACCTCAAATCACCAACTTTCTCATTTTATTGTCTCCTCTGGCCTTGGTGAGGAGGGGGTTCAGAGAGCAGATGGGTGGCATCTTACCCTTAGCCAAGCCTAACGCTGCACAAAGTTAGGTGCTCAGTTGGGTTCGTTCAGTGGCCATTTGGGTTTTTGTGAGATGTCCCAAGCTACAGCACATACCTGCAGAGAGCTGGCAGGTATGGTGTAGGTGAAATCTGTGGGTGATTCGGCCAGAAAAGCCTTGAGGACCTTGTATGAAGTACTGATGTGTGGGCAGTGAAAGGGAGTACTGCAGGTCTCAGGTTGAACTTTGAACCTGGTTAGTCAGCAAGCCACAGTTCTGTCTGACCTCTTCTGAATAAAAGGGGTTGATATGAGACTTAGCTGATGTGTTTATATGAGTTTGAACACTTCAGCACAGCAGAATATTACAAGTCCTGTAGCAGAGTTGTTTCACTGCATATTGCTGAGTTTTTTGGTTTGGAAGGAACCTTAAAAGTCACCCTATTTCATCCCATGGTGAAGGGCAAGGGCATCTTTCACTAGTAAGATTTGTCTTTTCCCTCTTGGGAATCATTCCAATATATACTGAGGTTGCCAAAGAGCAGGAAGAGAGTTACCTTGTTCCGAGCTGGCTGAAAGGAGGTAGCAGTGTCCACGAGATGGAAGCAGACACAAATTCTTGTGTACATTTCAAAGCTTGCATAGAGGCTTTAGTTGTTTAAGAAAATGAAGCTACAGTTTAAATTCTTGAATCTGTGTTTTCTGCTTTGCTCGTCTGGAGGTTATTCTATTTTTTGTTCATATTTTCTGATTGTTACATAGGTTTCATTCTGGCAGCTTAATATTTCCTGAACTTACTGTAGTGTGGCATTTAGTCAGTATGCACAAGATCAAGGCTATGCCTCCCAGGAGAGGATGGGTGAAAATATTATTGGTTTAAATGGAAAATTCACCAGATTTATCTTACAGCCTGTTTATTGGTAAGTCTTGAATGCTTGAGAGAGGCACAGGAAGAAGCAATGTTTGAGATTTTAGTTAATGGAAACTGTCACATTTTGTCATATGCCTGTGCCCAGGCATCTCAGTATGCAACTTTGGATATGCTTGGCTGGTACTGGAATGTTTTGTTTTTTGGGAGAGAGAGACAGAGATTGGTTATAAATCCTGAAGAAGGCAAAATGTCCATCAACTGTAGTTTGAGTTTTTGTTTGAGTACAGCCTGCAGGATCAATAATCTAGTATGTGAATCAAAAATCAGATCTAGCAAGGCTAGAAAAGCATGGCTCAGGTAGTAAAATAAACACTTGTGTATGTTACAGTGAAGATTCATTGCCTCAGTATTTACCTTAGGGCACAAATATGTCTACCAAGAAAAACGAGTTCCTTTGGAAATGGGAGAAATATCTTAATACAATTAAATTCACTGATCTTTAGAGCTCTTACTTTAGTGTTCAATTGCTCTGCAGCACTTACGTTTCCAAACTTACAAATTTGACTGTCTATATTAAAATATATGACAAACTTAAAGAATCAATTTCTCTTCATTCAGGAAACACTTGTTTCTATCAATATTGCTCTCAGTTTTGGTAGTTTGACAGTTGCTCAGGCTCACTGAATTGTCTCCAAGGAATTTGGATTTACTCCAAAGTGTCAAAGCTGTTGGTTTTTCGTCAGGCAAACCACCTTCACAGTCTTCATCTGATTTTTACTTGAAATACTTTCCTTCATATTTTGGCCCCGAGTTGGGAGTTGGTGGGTGTTTTTTTGTTTTTTTTTTTGTTTTTTTTGTTTTTTTTGTTTTTTTGGAGTGCATTTGTGTGTAAACATAATAATTAAATTTGGAAGGTGGTACTTTTGAATAATGAGTATCTGCAGATGAGTAAAATTTATGACGAAATGGCCCCCATCTTCTTGCAGTGATCTCAGTACAGCGAGGATGCTTTGGTGCACTGCGGAGCATTTTTAAAATTGAAGTTTTTATAGGACATTACAGATATCTTTGTGGGGTCATCACTTTTACTTCACAATAGGAACCACTAGAAGGCCAAATGCATTTTTTTGTGGTGGATTTCAGTTGAAATGAAAGAAGTTTTCTAACCCTGGAGATGCAAATAATGTATTCTGTGTTGTAAGTGACCTGATATCTAAGTTGCAGAAGATAAAAATTAAGCTTTGCAATATTCCAGTTATGAAGTAAACCAGCAAAACACCACCATGAGAAGTTTCTTCTGCAAACATGCTTTTTGGTGCTGAAGCAGAATTACAGAGAGAACAAAAACTGGTCAATCTGTCTCACTATGCCCAACTTCAACTTCTGGTTTTGTTTTTATTTAACAGTGGAACTCCAACTCCAGCTTCAGATGCTGACGTTACCACACTGAGAGGTCAGTTTTCATCTAAATCTTGTCACAGCTGTTTCTGAATTACTTGAAAATGGAGCAATGTCTTGTGGATTTGTGAAAAAGTTGTGAATTTTTCCACCTCCAAATGATGCTGATTCTGTTCTGGTGTTCAGGGTGTGTGCTGACATTATTTTGTTACTAAATGAATTGTGAAAAGTCCTACTTGAGAGATCAATCCTGGGCAGTTTTTACTACACTTACCTTGTGTTCTTAAAAATACTGTGCTGCTTAGACAGCACATTAGCATTTAATTCTGATTAGCATATTTGATACTTTTCCTGAGGCTCTTCAGGTGTTTCCTGTGTTGTTTTCTCATGATGATGGAAATAGGAATCAAGCATTACTACTTACGATTGCTGAGCTCTTGGGTGTATCTACATGTACATGAGCAAAAGTAACAATACTGCTCTTTCAAATTCAGATGCAGCTGCCAATGTTCCTCCTCCTCATGAGGTCTCAATTGAGAGTCCTCCAGGTGGTACCAGCCATGAGATTGAAGATGCAGACACTACTGTGAGTATTCTTCTTTTTTCTTCTTCTTTTTTTTTTTTCATTTGGTTTAGCATTCTCTTGCCCTTGCTAAAGACCATGGTGACCATTTCCATTTTCTAGTATATGAAGATGTTTTAAGCAAAATGTGTTAACACAAATAAAGAATTCATAAAAGCAGGGAATGAACCTTAGAAACTTTTACATAACTTCCTGTGTAGGTATTGTTCCTTTTACAGTGGTTTTGCAGTGTGCCTTCTCCATCTCTGTGCGTGAGAGAACAGATGAGTTATCAAGTGAAGATTTTGTTGATGACTAAACAGGACTAGTTAGTGAATGCTTATGGACTTTGAAAGCTCTGGGAAGGATGTGTTGTTATTTGTATGGAAACATGATACACATTAAATTGCTATCCTAGTGTTTGAAATGTCCAAGTAGTACAGTTACCTAGGACAGCAGAGATAGTCTGGGTAGCCTTGAAGATTCCTTCTAGTTCTCCATTCCTTTTCCTCTACTGCCATAAGAGAATTTTTATTTATTGTTTTAGAGTCATGCTCACCTTGATAGCTAAAACACGACTCTCAACACAGGGAAGCCTACAGCAAGTACATTAAATGTCTCTGTAGAAGTAAGCTGGCTTCCACAAGTGCTGACCACCAGACAGATCCTGGGGAAGTGTTTGCTTCCAGAAAACAAATCCTCTGGATTAAAATTTAAGCCCAAACTCTAGATTCCAACTGTAGTGTGCTTGAGCCTACCTGACCACCAAAGAAAATTTTGCAAACCAGCCTTATGAATCAGCTGGCACTGATTTTCATATAAATGTGAAACTCTCAGTGGATTTACTGAGAAGCATACCAAGTTACACATGCTGCATATAATTGGAAGCTGATTTATGGTACTGGACTTTCACTGTGCACCGTTCGGTAACCTAGTATGGCTGAGAAACAATGCTGGGCCAAATTCCAGACTTTCTCTAGAGCTTTCACGTGTGTCTGCTGAGCTCTGATATTGTGATTCCAGGAATAAACACTGAGTATGAAATAGACAGACAGCTTCTGACTCTGGTCCAGAGGCTGATTTTATATTTATATACCATGAACACTTGTGGTTTAGTCCCATGTACACCATTATTTTTTTCTGAAACAGAACTACCTGAGCAGAGAGTAAGACCACTCAGTAAATCAGAAAGAAATCAGAATTGGATTGCTGCTGCTACAGTGTTTGCACTCTCTACAGTTACCTCTCACTTCATCATTGCTCTGAGCAGCCAAAATACATTGCAGATTACAAGACCAAAAGTGAGCAAAACTCATCTCAGCTTTTGTTTTTGGGGGACTGATAAATGATTCAGACTACACGGAGTTGCAAACAGTCATGTAGCAGCAGAACATGTGCGAGCTAAGTATGTATTTGTGAAATAATAGCTGGCTTTAAGCAGTGTACCAATCATTCTCGTTCTTAACAAAGTTATTTAGTCAAAAAGGCGTGAAGGGATGGGTGGGGGAAGAGAATTTAAGTAAAAAATCTAAGAGGGCCCTAAACAATATACAAGTGCTCACTGGTGGCAGCCAAGCTTTCTGGAACTGTTCCATTTCCTGCACCATACATAGCACAGGCTGCAGTTTTGCTGGAAATGACAGCTTTGCTGGCTCATTTTTTACTTTTTAATAGGGAAAAGGCAACTGCTGCATGTAAATAGCAAAATACATTTTAGTTCATTTAAGCCATCCTCCCCCTTCCTCCCCCAAATTCCAGACTTTTGTTCTAGAATAGAACTATGAAACAAGATCTGTTTTCCTTGACATTCAGTTTACCACAGGAAATAGTATGCTGGTTGTAAAATAGTGGGGAATGAAATAGAAAGGGCTCTTCCTGTGCTGCTCACCGATTCAAATTAGATGAAAATTTGACTGGAATTCACTGCTGCTCACAGCATCTATGTTAGTTCCTAAAGCCAAATTATTGCACAGGGTATCTGTACACGCTGTGCATGTAAAATGTGGAACTTGGTAAAGATAAATTGTCTTCTAAGTGAAAAAGTAAACAGGAGCCTTGTGCTAAATGGATAAATCAGCCCATTGCTGATTAGGCTCAGGTGATCCCTTGGTGCATCCAGTTGCACTTCAGATTGGCTCTGCTGGGTTTCTGTTTGTAACTCAGGTCAATGACACAACCTTGCTCTAGAGCAAAGATGTGCAAATGGAAAATAGAAGTAATGGCAATACACAATACTGAAAATGTTCTGGCTCACTAGGTTGTCTTATTACCTTTCACTTGTCCCTGAGACTTTCTTGCACTCCTTTGTAGTGTATGACAAAAGGTGTGCTATGGCTCAAGTCAGCATGCTGTTCTTTGGCCTGCAGCTTCCACATCATTAAGTACATTCATCATGCCATCTGTTTGGCCTGCCAGTATTGCCCTGATCTGTTCCTGTCCTTACAGCATTTATGAAGAGGGCTTATTTTTTTGCTACACTGTGGGCCAGAGAACCCTCCAGGTCTGGAGAATTTTCTGGCCCTCATAAAAAAAAAAAAAAAAAAAGACGTTTGGACCCAGGCTGAGCAATGCAGTGTGCTGACAGCTGGCAGGACCACATGTACGTACTGCCATATCTGGGGATGCTTTCCATGTGGAGTGAATCCAGGATAAGTAGGAATCTGGTCTGCAGCGGGTAAAGGGAATTTATTTCTTGGGAAAAAAGCCACAGTCAAATGGGAAAATAAAAAGCACTAAATCACCTTTTGCTTTCTCCCTTCTCTCCTTTCCTTCCAGATCAATAATGAGATAAAGAAGGAGGACGAGACTCCAGTGAGACCTGTAACTGAGCAGATGATTGAGTTCAGCATTGTGATTTCTGGAGAGAAGTACAGCGAGGAGTTGAGCGACCCAGCCACTGCAAAGTATCAGCTACTCTCTGAACAATTTGTTTCTCAGGTGATTTACCTTCCCAGAGTTCTTTTTCTTCTTGCTGACTCTGCAGAGCAGTAGTAGCACATAGCATCTGTATGAGGACTGTTCTGCAGAACCAGCTTAGGGCTTTTGTTGCCTGAGGCAGGCTGGAAAATATTCACTATAAACACGCCTTGCTTTGTCTGACATGCTGCCTTTTTGAGATTGTAGGGTTGTGTCAGACATCACAGGTAGCACACTAGTTGCATAACAGTAACTTCAGTTTTCTACCTGTGTTTCTTATGAAATAGCATGCTTTCATTTTTGCAAGCAAAAGAGACAAAAGTAAGCTTCTGGGGAGATCATGCTGGGCCCCTGTTACTCCAAACAGGAAGCTTTCTGAGGCACTCCTTTCAACCTGCTGTTTGTTAGCAAAAAAAAAACTCAGCCAAGAGTTATTGACAAATGAAAGATAACTTGCACTCTAGTTCTCCTAATGTTCTGTTTCTAAAGTTGTCCTTGCCATCCTCAGAATTTTTAAGCACCTCTTCCTGTCAGTGTTACAATAGTAGAGCTTTTGAAGTCACACAGAAGTGACAAGATTCTTTTTTGCTTCTTGATGCACCTTCATTAGTTCTTTAAGTTCTGAAACTTGAAGACTCTAACTTTTAAAGATATATTTAGAATCATAGAATCATAGGATTTAACATCTCTCTAGTGACCAGTTTCTGTAGAGAATTTATTTCAGATCTTGTTCAGGTTTGAATTCTTCCATCACATAGTTGATTTGAAACTAGGGAGTAAAAATACAGTTTGAGAGCGTTGGCAAACCAGACTGCCCATGCTCTCCAAATGACAGGACGTGAATTGTCTGCTGCTCATCAGCCTGTGCTGGGGCAGTGCTGGAAGGCAGCTCTAGTAATTCTGATACAGCACTGCAGCAATATGAAGTGCAGGCGGAAGACAGACAGGTCCATCAGCATTTGCTCATGTGGGCATGCTCTGGATGCCATACAAAAGCTGAACCCTTAAATGGGATTTAGAAATTCTTAATGATTACAGTGTCCAGATTTTTGATTGCAGAAGTGAGGTGGTAAGTGATGAACTAACAAACAACAGAATTTATGTTATTTCCATGTAGGAGCAGCAATGAAATGCTGTTTGAAATCTAGGCTGCTGAAAACACTCTTCATTAATGTCCATAGTCAGCAGTGCATATGGACACATATTTAAACCTTCCAACTTCAGAAATCTTAAGCACATGCTTAAATCCCACCGGAGTCACTGGAAATGAGCTGTAGTTTAGACTCTTAGACACAAACTTCAAAGAAAAATACATATGTGCTTATATATATATACATTTGTATATATATACATATATAAAAATGCAAATAACTATATATATATGTACATATATGAATGATTTATTAAACATTAACTTCAAATTAATTTAATTTTGATTAAATCGAATGCTTTAATTTGTATAGTATAAATAAAGTTACTGGCCCACCAACGTGCAAAAATGTACTTAAAATACAATCTGCTACTGTCTCCTGAGTTACTTTTCCCTACTGTTTTCATTATTTTATTTATTTACTTTACTTTTTATTTATAATGATGGCAATCTTCTTACCAACATTTTCTTGGGGCAGAGAGCTTGTCTTTCCTTTCTCCTGGGCGAAGCATCCAGGGTACTAAATAGTAGGATCATTTTTATTCTAGCTTTGTTTCCTTCTTAGTTTCATTTAGTGGGGGTTCTCTTTGAATTCCTTTTATTGGGGCTAACCCTGGGCCAGATCCTGGGCCAGATGGGAAAGAGATGTACTCTTCAACTGCAGCCAGAAAGCATCACCACAACTGTCACAAGTTGCTAGCCTAGGCTAGACATCTTAATTTTCCTAGTTATGTGGCCAAGTAGCAGTGCCACGGAGTGTGTGTGTGGAAGAAATGTCAGATGGGACAGAGTCCACCTGGCACATGGATGTTCCACTCCTTTGATCCCTCGCCTGGTTTTCTCTGTGCTTGGATGAAGAAGCTATTTAAAAAACAAAAAGAAAAGAAAGTCGGCAGCACTCGGATTGTTTAAATCTCACCAGAGACTGTTTAAAAATAGGGAGACTAGGGAGGGGAAGAAGAATTTGAGGAGTAGAAAATAATTCTCACTGGCAAGGATCTTTTGGGAGGAAAAATACCAAAGCCGGCATGAACCTGTAGTATTCTGTTTCTTGTTTTTGTCAACACAGTTAACTATTGAATTGGGCCTGGACATGCTGCCTTTCTTCTGCTCTTGGTCTTCCTTTTTGAGTAGCACCACTAGTCACTCCTGAGCCCTCTGTATGTTTAGAGCAATAGAGATGAGCCATGTTTTGCACTATGTTTTGCACTTGGGCATCATTGGAATCTGAGATCCCTGTGCCTACAGCAGCTGTCACTGCTTCCCTTGTTCTGGTTGCCTAGGTCTGAAGCATTTTTCCTGAATTTATTTTCATCCAGGGAGATTCAGGAAGTAATGGAATTTTGGGGAGCAAAAAAGGGTTTGTGGTGCATGAATAAGAGTCTGAGTGTCATCTTTGCAGATCTCTGCAGGGTCTGTTTGAATTTTCTCCTCTTTTACTGTTTGTATACAATTCTTGGGGGATGCTAGATGGCATGCTTCATACTTTTGCTTTCCCTTTTGTAATAATAAAACAGTGACACCAAAACTCTCCTGTAAAGAGCATATTTAACAATATTTTTTTCCTATTAGAAATAGAATCTCAGATGCATTTTTAGAATTTTAGAAAATGTTGAAAATACTTTCTGATTTTTCTACAAGGAGTAGATGGAGGAAGCTTGTGTTAATATTTTTTTCCCTTCAAAATAGATCCAAAATGTATTTGAAGGACTACCTGGATACAAAAACATCCATGTCCTGGAATTTAGGTAAGAAGATACTGATGTGAATGTTCTGTTTGAGACTCATCATGTCTGATGGTACAATGCCCTACCATCACACTTGGAAGAACATCAGTGAGAGGGAATTTCTAGGATGTGTCAATTAAAGGAAGAGTGCTTCCATAATGGTGTATGTGTGCAGAGGTCAAAATAGACATACAGAATTGTATATAAATAAATGTGCTTGTCTTTTTTCTGCTCCTCACCCACTAGAGAACCTTACTTGATATGTTTGCCTTCATTTTAAGGCAAGACATTGGAGAATCATACCTAAAATTAAAAGAGATGTTTTCTTATTTCAAATCAGTATCTGATACTGTTGACATGTCCTAGTATTAAACAAGGAAGAAAATGGAAATCCTTTTCTTACTTTTCTTTTCAACTTACTGATGTTAATTTAGGACGACTACAGAGGTTGGTGTTTGAAGTATGTAAAGTCTTTCTCCCTTTGATCAAAGCAAAGGCAGGTGAATGCTTTAACTCTCTTCAGTCTCATAAATATTCTTTAAAGGACTTGTTTTCTCAAATTGATTTATGATTCAGAATTACACTTCAGGTTACTTTGGGGGAAAAAAAAGGGATCCTGTGTATTATATATCAAACATCTGATTTATTATTTTTTTGGTATATATGGATCACAAATTATGACTGGACTTGAATTGACTGGATATGACTTTCAGAATCCAGTGAGCTTTTTGTAGTCAATCTAATTTGTGTTTTCTATGTGAAACTCTGTAAGCTGTATTCCTTAAAGTATTTCAGCCAAAAAATTCTAACCAGAATACTTCCAGATAACAAAACAGCTATAGTGAGGAAGCTTCTATGGTTGGAACCATATAGTTGGACAGTGTTCCAATAATACTGTCAAAAAAGGATAGTATAGCAATCAAATTATGAAATGCTTGAAGCAACAAGGCAGGAATGTTCCCTGTGGATTGATCAACTTCACTTTGTTGTGGCTGTGAGACAATAATTACCTGACTTGATGAGACTGATTCATAGATATGTAGTAATTATCCCTGCATCTGCAAGCAAAACAGAATGACAGAATGTCTTCAGCCCTCACTGGAGCCCAAAGGCAGGTTTGTCTTTTCGGTTCCTCCTTGCACTTCTGGCTACACTCACAACAAGCTGGGGCAATGACATGGGAAAACCCTGCTGAAGCTCTGCCTGGGAGGTTAAATCTTCCATCTCAGTGTTTGCAGTCTAATACATCTGCAAGCTCTCTTTACGTTTCAGAAGAAAAATAAAAGGTTGGTATTTCTGGCAGGGTACCAAAGCTGCTTTCTGTGCTCTGCTGTGCATGACAAGCAATGTGTTTGTGAACTACCTTTAGGTAGAATTGGGGAGCCTTGTTTCTTGTGTTACTGGCAGGAATTAACTGTGTTATTTGCACTACAGAGCAATGGTTCTGCTCTGATACCTTGTGATCAATAGGAAGCATTTCAATTCAGGAAAAGCAGAGGAGTTTATTGTGCAACTTTAAATCGTTTTGCTGTATGGATTTTCAAATTTGTGTGCCCTGTAGAGAACAAAAGCAAATTTGGTAAAGTTAGACTTTAAGGAAATAATAATATTGATTTAACACGCTTTGCTATTGTGTTTTATTTTTCTGTTCAGCTCTCCTGAGGAGGACAGGTAAAGACAACATTTTTATACATATTTTTATTATACAGATGAGAAAGCATATGTTAGCTGGAGGACAGTGTCTTGGGGATTTGTGGTTTTGGCTTCACCAAAATCACAAAATCGAGCAAAAATACTGTGTGAGGGACTTCTACCAGAAACTACAAGTAACCAAACTGGTTTGATTACAAAAAACCATAATCTGCTTATTTAAAGGCTGCTTGTCAGAAACTGCTTGCAGAGAAACTTTTTAAACAAAGTCAGCTATTGGGCTGACTACAAAAGGGAGCTCTTGGGAAGAAAATAATATTACTAAATTACTATTCAAGGTCTTTCTAATTAGCAGTAATTAGTTAGATACAGGATGATTATTATAAGAGCAATTAAAATTGGTAACAAAACCATAGTTATCCAACAAAGGCAGTTGACTTAGCATCTTCAAGGCCATAGTTGCTGCACATCTTAGCAGTAATCTTGCACACATTTCTTAGCAGAATATGAGAACAGCATGGACTTGTTTTTTGGTAAACATACGCAAGTTCAGCACCCCAAATTTTCCTCTGATATTATTTGAGGAATTTCACAGACAGAGAAACAAATCACAACTTTTAAATTACTGGTACTATTACTTTTGTGTATTTCTCAGCAAAGCCACAGCCAGTTTCCACAAACTGTTCTACAGAGAATAAACATTTTAATTTTAAAGAAAGATACTGACAGAATCTGTTCACAATCAATAGTGAGTAGCAGCTATCCTCTGTTACTCTGCATTTCTGCAGAATAAGATGCATGCAACAATTCAGAAAGATTTGTGTTCCAAATACCAGACATTATGGCCTTTTCTAGACAGATGATGGTGTTGTTATTAGTTAGCAATTATTAACTGCAGCATGTAATTAATACAACAGCACAGTTGTATTAAATCTAAATGTTATTTTTTTTATTAAAACACTGTATTCCATCTTTTGCTTTTCACTACTGCAGTCCTTTTTCATTTCCTCTCCTGACAGTCAGTACCCAGGGTGAGTCTACAATGGGCTCATTTCAGTAACAGTTCCAGCAGCAAAACTTCATCAGGTTCCTGGTTTTAGTCAGCGTTTACTGATTATATCTTTGTTGTGCCTGGCACTGGGGCTTAAGAGACATCCCTGAACAGAGCTGTTACTTTAGCAATACAGTCCAGCTCTGTGGAATGAGGGAAACCTGTCTTCAGGGCACGTTTTCCTAGCACTTCATAGATTACTTCAGTTTCTTGCTGCGGTCTCTGTACAGCCAAAGTATGCTCTATTTTCTAAGGCTCTCTTGTCCTTATGCTCAGTGTATGGTAAATCTGAACTCTACCTAACTCTGTAATGCGGAAGAAGACATCCAGGTGTATTTAGGAGAGCACCAACAAGAAAAAAGAAGAGAGTCAATAATAAAACACTAAGATGTTCACAGATATGAAACTTTCGTAAATGGCTTCAGTCAGAAGGGATCTTAAAGACTATCCATTTCCAATCCCCTGGGTAGAATTGCCATTCACTAGATCAGGTTGTCCAGGGTCCCATCTTTGTTAAAGAACAAATAATAAATGAGTCTAGAAAAACTTTTCCAATTACAAAGTGCCATTAAATACTATCTAAGAGTGGCTAAGAGTGCATTATTTAATGCAGATTGACACTACTCAGTGACAGTGATCAGGGCTCTTTTCTTACTTCAGAGCCATTCCTATCATTGGCATGACCTTAAAAATATCTTTCACACCATTGCCATGCTGCTGGGTCTACTGATATGCTGGCAGAGAGCCAGTATTTTGGCCTCTTGATGGTCCCTCTACCATTCAGAAGTGGAAACACAGGGCTGGGACCAGACCAGATGTCACGCTCTGGTAACCTTTTCCTTCAGAATTTATCAGTGGTAGAAAACATAGTCAGGCAGATACAAGCGTGAAACCAATTAAGTTATTTTTAACTAGAATGCTTAAAAGCAGTATAGTTTGATTTTTTTTTCAATGGCTACTGGCACAGGTTCTTTGAAAAAAGCATATTGTATTTGCTATACTTGAAAAACATTGTAGTTCTCATCAGTGTTCTTTCTTTTTGTAAAACCAAAGTGGGGTGGAAGTTCACTATGCTGTTACATTTGATGGAGAAGCCATCAGCAATGCCACTTGGGACCTGATTAACCTTCATTCCAACAAGGTGGAGGACAACTCCTTTATGGGAATAGAAGATAATCCAACAGTTGTTTACACCATCAGCGATTTCCAAGATTATATTGCTGAAATTCTCCAGAAAAATGCCTTGCTTGAAAACACTTCCTTGACGTTAGACCCTAACTCTCTTCAGCTTATTAATGGTGAGTACTGTTTATGATTCATCAGCCCTCTGAATAATTAAAAAGGAGCAACAAACACAAAAGTGTCCCAGCTTGTATTGCTAGTCGGGTCAAGTCATTGGGGGTGGTATCCCACATTCAGTCCATTAGATTTGCCTTTTCAAATTTTTCTTTGACACACCATTTGTGGAATGCAACTCCAATAATTCTTCAACAATTAACAGGAACAGAAAGGAGGTATAGTTCATGTGATGCATATTGCCTTCAGCATGAAGATGACCTTCAGCACAATACATTTTGTATTTGCCTTGAGCAGCACAAAAGAAATACCTGGCTTATCATTGAATATACAAAGATCCTGCCATAGCTGATGGAGGATCAAGGGTGTTCCATCCCTCTAAGCTCTTCTTTTTTTTTTTCCTGTACTTCCTGTGAGTGATCTGGGAATATTTCCAGAAACAAAATCTCTATGGCCAACTTTCTGAAAAAGTCTCACAAATCTGTGATGAAAAATGGTTTTTCAGTCTAAACCAATTGTTCTAAAACAATTTCTTTACACTGCTACTGCAGCTTTTATAGTCTACGTATTTATATTTTCCTAGTGAAAGAAATATTACACCCTAGCCAAGAAGATTCATCCTGGATCACTGAGCATCCAACTGTGTTGGAGCATGTGGAGTTTGATGTGAGTATGGTTCTGAGCAGTGTCCTTTTTAGTTTGTCATCTGTCCTTTTCACACATTCAAACAGGTTAATTAAGCAAGATGGAATTAAAACCAGTACTCAGAACTTCTTTATCTTATTGTTTATGTACAGAGGAGCAAAACCTCTGGTGAAATCTCTCATGTGATAATTTTCTATCCGTTGAATAACAGTTTTATATGATCATCTTATATTACATAGCTGTCTAGCCATGACTTGCTCTTCAGGCTTCTTTTCTTCCTTTGTCTGTTTTTGCCATAATGCTTAGGCTGTAAATTTAAAAAAAAAAAAAAAAAATTAGACCCACAGCCTTTCTTTGGAAGTTGAGGAATAGTAGCAAGGACTAAAGCAGGCTGCTAAAAGAGGTAAAAGGGTAAGTTTTATATGCTACTTCTGTTATTGTTTTATTTTACCTGCAAGTTCTTTGTTCAGGTTTTAAAAGATGTCCACATCCTTGATGCCAGTAAAGAAGTGTCTTAATTTCAGCTGGAACGGAATTGTTTTCTTCAGAAAGTCTAGTATGATGCTATGTTTTGTTCTAGGAGAAAAATAATAAACACCAATGCTTACAGTTGCTGCTAAGCAGTTTTGTCCAGAGCTGAGGCTGTTCTCAGTGAAGAGTGAAAGGAGCTGGGAAGGAACAGGATTAGGACAGCTGACTTAAACTGGCCAAAGAGACATTCTATACCATATGACATCATACAGAAGGAGTTTTGAAGGGTGTGGGAGTTCTTCTGGCTCTCTTCTGCTACTTGGGGTCCAGCTGGGCATTAGGCAGGGGGTGGTGAGCAATTGCTTGTGCATCACTTGTCATATGCATGTATATATATGTAAATAGTTATAACTATTTTCCTTTTCTCTATCTTAGCAAATAGTTTTATCTCAACCCACAAGTTCTACTTCATTATTTTTTTTTAATTCTCTCCTCCATTCCACTGGGAAGGGGGGTGGACAACTGAGTGGTGCTCAGCCACCAGCTGACCACAAGACAAAGGACACAGAAAATTAGTAGGCACTGGTTTCTGGTTGTTTTTTTGAAAATGTATTATTATCTGAACACCTCTGGAACAATTCAGGCCATAGATGAATGTTCCCTGTTGGACAGGTGAGTTAGTACCCCTGAACATGTCTGTACAACGCAGCAGGGCTTCAAGCAGAGATACCAAGTGAGGTGCCAATGATGAAGAGATTGAGTTAATTAATTCTGCTGACAGCTGAATATGTTGGGGCATTGTCTGGGTCTAAGAATTTATCCGGTAGGTTTCTACTCTGTTGTGTAACACACACATGCCTTCCAAAATTAAATGAGCACTATTCATACCACAAAAACCAGATCCACCTATATTTGATGATAGGTTTTCACTAAGCTCTCTATGAGATGCTGTTATGAGCACAAGCATGCCTTATTTCAGACCAACTTCTGAAACATTCATAGAAGCAAAATTCTTAGTGACTTCACAGAAGCTAATGGTGTCTGTTCTATTGGTCACGGGTAGAATATCCTTTGTTACCAGTTTCCCCCGATTTTTTACAACTATTAGTATTGAAAATGCAAATTTGCATGAATTTGCTGTACGTGGTTTAAAAATGGTGCGGATTTAATTTTCAGGAAAGGGCTGTCTATTTACTAGAATTATCTAACTGATTTAAAATGTTATATATGTTTATTTTAGCAAGACAATTCTGCCATTGCTGTACTGACATATACATTCAAGAAGACTTTGTAGTAGAGGTAGCTTTGTGATGTCAGTTTTTAAATGAATTTCAGGGAATAGTACCTGTAAGAAATATTACTGGATGTGCACAGATATCTGGGAAGTAATTTGATATAAATTTAAGAAACTCATAAATTGTTTAAACATTAAACAAGGTTGAAATGATTAGTCAAATATTTGCACAGATATCAAACTGTTGAGGTTCAACTAGATAATATTACGTAGAACTGTTACCTATGAAAAAGAGTTTAGCTATTATTTTTTGTGGCTGATTGGGGAATGAGTTGGATTTGTATAATCATACTGGGTCATGACATAATGTGGGACTATCATTACTTCATCTTATTGCTAGCAGATGGTACCAACTAATCATTAATTCCTTTATTTGACTTTTACAAATCTCTTAAAAGATGAAGAAAAAAACAAGCCTAGCTTTTGAAACCTGTATTTTCTTGTTATTTCAGTTGAGTTCCAACAGGTAGAATGCATTGGCTTATTGAGCACAATGTCTTTCTGGCAGAAGAAAACGGAAAATCAGGGAGGGTGTTCTGTGTTTGCAGTCATCTGTCATATTTGTAAGACTTTCAAGACATTAGCAAAAAAAAGAACTTGCCAATATGATATTAAACTTGTTAATATAATATATAGCACTGTAACAAGAATCTTTGAATAATGTTCGTTGTCATGGGAACATCTATCCACATTAAAATAAATGATGAAGTGCAATTTCTGGCCATGAAATGCTCACATAAAAAATGTATTGAGCAGCTATTGCTGGTAGTCCTTTTTCATTCTTTGTGGAATTTATATGTGTAATTTGTTTCTAATCTTGCACAGTAACTTTTTTTCACAGGTTTATTTATAATAGTCAATTTTACCAAATAAGATAATTGCTGGAGCACATGTCTCTGTGGTGTATATACTTTTCTATTGATTGTTACCATGTACATTCAAAAATATGAGAATGTTGGGTGGCATAACAAGTGCCTATAAAAACCATGGTCAATTCTGGTAGACAAATAATTAGATAAATATACCTTCACTGCTTTATTTCTAAAGTGTTCAAATATAGTTTGAATGAAGATGAAAATTTAATTCACCTGCATCTCAACCAAGAGTATAATTCCAAGACTGAGAAATATTTAGACTTCATTCATGCCAGAAGGAGATTAGAAGGGAATAGTGAGAGACAGAAATGTTTAAATAGATAGCTTTTGTTTTCTTTTGTTTTTGAACTGTCATATTTGTTACCAAAACACTTGTTTGCTGTCCACTCAACTTTACTAATCGCCATCGGGAATTGGTTAGTTGTAAGTAAGTTCTATTTTCTTTGTTTGGCAATTTTTCATACCTCAAGACACTTTTTGGGTCAATTTCTGACTTATTGCACAGCATTCATAGCTGGACAGGTATCCATGCAAAGCAGTATCTCCAGAGTTTAGGCAGGGAGCTTGCTTTTGTAGCCTTGATTAAATCAGTTAATTTCTCCTTTTTATTTATTTATTTTTTTCAATATGATTTCCTCATGAAACACTGTGGGAGTGGATTAATCTTCAGAGATAAAATGCTCAGTATTCTAACTGTAAACCAAATAATAACTTGGGTGTGGTCTTATAAGTAAATAGTGTGCAAATTGGAGGCTTAAAAACAAATTCTTTTCCCACAGCTCATGTAATTGGCAAATTCATTGTGTATACTCCTTGTTCATTATTACTGTTGATAGTTTTCTTTCCACATTGGCATCTCAGCTTTGAGAGTGAAGTTATTCAAAGTTCTAAGTGCTCTTGGTTACATTATGATCACTGTTTCCCTACCAGGTTCTCAGGCCCACACGTCAAAAGATAGTAATGAACAACCATAGGGCATACATACAGTCAAATTCAGTTTCTAAATGGTTTTATATATACTTGCAACAATTACGGTAATGATAATGGAGCTGATGAATAATAGCTGCTTGGACCTCTTCATTCCTTAAGAACGATGACAATATTGTGTGTATTTATCTTTGATTTAAATAGAAATATGGACAGTTCAATTTTTTCAGTAGGGAAAAGGAAAGGCCACAGGGTAGCTATAGACTATAAATCTCTGAGTACCATTACCTGAAGCTGTGCCTGAAGAATTAGAATGGCTGCTTTCCCTTCTTAGCAGACATGACCAGACACAAAATATGTGTCACAAGGACATGCATTTTACATGTACATTGGATGTTATTAGCAAAGATTACATTGCAAATCCTTCTCCTGCTGTTTTGCACTACTTCCTCACAGAAGCAAAAGTAGCAGATTTTGCTCCTGGTTAACACCCCTTCTTATGTTCAGTGTGGGCAGCCAATACTACCCCTGTAATAGAGGTTATGGTTTTGTTTCAGGATAACACTTTTTCAGCTGAACGGCCTTCAGCAGATGAATCAACTGTCAGCAATACCTTGCCCTTTGACTTCACCAAACCAGATTCCACTTTAGATAGTGAAGAGTCCAGCGACAATGAAATCCGACCAAGACCAGAAAGCTTGGACTCTGAGGTCAGTTTGATACCTGAAGCTCCACTTTCCTCTGAGGCTGACATCACATCTTTGCCAGATGGGCTGAATTTAGAGGATGGGAATCAGACTCCTGCTTTGGTCACTGCACCAGTGATAGAGCATGATTCTCTGGACTCTCTGGAGTGGCTTTCAGCCCCTGATTCTTCAGATGGTAAGTTAATTGACTGAAGTTTAAGTTTGGATACCAGTGTTTCTGAATACTCACTAAACATATAGTTTACCAAAATGACTTTTCAGAAAGGTCTATACATTGGATATATTCCTCTGATTGTTTTTACCTTTACTGTGTACGTGTATCCAAGAACAAGACACTCTGATAACGTGCCTGTATAGCTGATAATGCCTGTTTATCCCTCCAGCAAATTGTGTGTACAAGATACTTCTTTAAGTGAGTAGAACTGTTTTCATATGGAGCATGTTTAGGTGATGCCATGCGAAGATAATTGATCTCTGAAACAGAGATAGTTATCAGATAGTCTTCAAAGGACAGGCTACACAGTAACTGCTTTATTGAGTACTCTGCAGTCTTGATTTGGCTCATGGAATATCAGAATGAAAAGTGGAGAGGTCAACAGGCCTTTAGACTTCAGCATATAAAGATGAGCATATATCACAGGAAACATAATGAATGCCTATCTGCAGACAACAAAATGAACCATATTTTACTTTTTTTTTTTTTTTTTTTTTGTATAAACAAAAACTAATTGGAAGCTCATTTTTATTTTTAGAGTTTGAAGATACTGGACTATCTGATGACTTTCTTCTGCCTTCAAGTCCCCCTTCTCACCTCACGCCTGAAGAACCTCCATCTACAGATGATTACACAGCTCCCCTGCTTTCTGCACCAACAGTGGCCTCCTCATCAGTCATGGAGACTGATACAAAAAGAACAGTGACTGCTGAGAAGGAAGAAGTAACTCAGAGTAGTCCTGCAGACAGTAGCAGTGCAGATTCTTTGTTGCACGAGTCTGTGGAAGAAAGTCCTTTTCCCTTAGAACGTGAAAATGATATTTATCTTGGAGATAGAATTATATTTGATGATGGATCTGGTTCAGCTTTTGATGGTTCAGGAAAAGGAATGGAACCAAGTATTTGGCCTTGGGATGTGGCAACACTGGAACCAGTTTTCTACCCTGGTCCTGATAGCTGGCTTGATGATGATAATGATTCTTTGTTAATCAGAACTGAAGATATTCCTGAAGGTCTGATCTTAGATTATATTCTTAACTCTAGGAATAAATTAGATGATCCTTCCAAAGATGAGAATGAAGGTGTGGCCAGTACAAAAGAGAATTTCCTCGATGAGTCTGAAATATTTGTCTTTCCAGAAACTACAACTCAGCAGGTACCTCTGCTACAGACAGGAGAGCCATCATCTGTGGAGCCATCTACACAGATGGAAACGCTGAGCATGGATGATTCTTCTTTTGTTAAACCATCCTTTGTTTTGGAGCCATCAGAGGACTATTCCTTTGCAGACCTGCCAACTGGAGAAGATCCTTTCTTACCACACAGTACAGGTCTGTCTGTTGAAGATAGTCTCCTTACATCTACAGTAACTCTTGGTATAGAGGATAGTCTCCTTACATCTACTGTAGCCCTCGGTGTAGAACAACCAGAAGAGTACAGTGTAGGTCAGGAGATCATTTCTGAAGCAGTTGAACATCAAAATGAAGACAGGCCAGCAGCGGGAGAATTATTCACAGCAGGGCAGTCAAATGTAGCCGAAGCTGCTACGATAGGTTACTTGGACAAAAGCTCTTTAGGAACTGTTCTGACTGCGGAACCTTTTGAGGTAAGCACTGATAGTTCCACAGAAGAGCACCAAACCCTAGATTCATCATTCGCAGACCGAGAGACTGGATTAGCAAGAAAGAAGCCAGTTGATGTTTGGCCTACTGAGAGAGTACTAGAGAAGACATTAGATCAGACAGTACAATCAGCAATGCCGACTGCAGCTCAAGTTTCAACTGTAGTTCCTTCTTTAATAGATCAAGCCACTGCTCTAGATGGCTTTGCTGGGCAGGATGGTACGGAACATGACACACATGTTTCCATGAGTATCAGCACCATTCTGAAGTCCTATGTAACTGTAACAGCAGGCACTGTTGAGCTTCCATCTCATCTCCCTCCTATGGCATCCACAGTGTCATCATCTGTGGTTACCTCAGCAAAGCTGGGAGATGAAACAACAAGAGTCCTGGATGTTTCAGTGGACCTGGATCATGTGAGCATGGTCAGCTTTTCTCCTGAGCCGAGTGAGGAGGCAAAGAGTATGACTGACAGTCATGTGGAGCCAACTACCCATGCCCACTCCACAGAGATGGCCGGCGTGGCTTGGCCCACGCATGAAAATCACAATAGCACTCCTGTTCCATCACGAGCTTTAGTTGTGTTTTTCAGTCTTCGGGTTACTAATATGATGTTTTCAGAAGACCTGTTCAATAAGAATTCCCCTGAATATAAAGCATTAGAGCAACGATTCTTGGAACTGGTAAGTGTAATTTCTGTGCTAAATATCCATTTCCATAGATAGAAATTGTTGGTAATTAAGAGTTGGTTTGCTCTTCTTTGCAGAGAGTAACACAAGACTGGTGTTTCCAGATGTCATATGTGTCCTTCTTCAGGAAAATGCTATCTGGAAATGTGGGAATGGAGGGGCATTTTCAGTTGTTTTTTGTTTTGTTTTGTTTTCATTTTTTAGTCAGTCAGTAGTTTCTCTGAATCTAATGATCTCATAATCTTAATTTTCTAGTGATACTGGCCAGATGCTCTGCTGGTGTCAGTAGATGCAGCACATGTAGCTTAATTCAGTACGTTTCCTTAAATTGCTTGTGGTAAGCTCTGGATTTAGTCTATGGGGAGAGAAGAAGTAAATACATTGGGACTGTTGATAGTCTTTCTGCAACTCATTCAATCCATCCCAAGTAAGAGGTAGTTTAGGGAAATAAGATGTTTGTAAATGGACTGATCTCCTAAATAGTCAGCAGCTAGCAAAGCCTCATAGAAGAAATACAGCAACAATTATCAAATTTTAACTTGGAAATTCTCTTCTCCTGAGTGTAATGAATATTTTTCTGTGGGAGATGGAGGGAGTAAAGGAGAGAGATAGAAAAGGATAACATGCTTGAGGGAAATACCCTTTGAAATGACATGTGTATGTGCTGTTTTGGGCAAGGGAGAGCTCCACGTACATCCATATAGGTGTGTAGATTGGAACTGTCTACAATTTGATATGTGGTGTGAAGTATGGGCCTCAGTCAGGAAGAGTTTTAATACCCTTGCCATGGGATTTGGATAAACTAATTCAAACTCCCACTGCCTGATGCGATACCAACTGGCTTGAGTATAGATTCAAGGATTCAGCTTTTCTGTCATTGTCCCTTGTGTTGCAGCTGGTGCCATACCTTCAGTCAAATCTAACAGGTTTCCAGAATCTGGAAATCCTGAACTTCAGAAATGGCAGCATTGTGGTGAACAGTCGAATGAAATTTGCAAAACCTGTGCCTCGAAATGTCACCAACGCTGTGTATATGATCCTGGAAGACTTCTGCAACACTGCATATCACACCATGAACCTGGCCATTGATAAATACTCTCTGGATGTGGAATCAGGTAAAGATGGCAGGGAAGTACAGTTCTGAAGCAAGGGATTCTGCTTTAACAGCCGACTTAGGATCCTAACAGCTTGGAGATTTCCCAGTGCTTTTCACAAGCTGGGCTTTTCTAAAACCCAGGTCAGACTTTCACAGAGTTTAAATAAACAAAAGTCTGTTATGGGACTGAAGAGAGAAACAACAAAATGGGACCCAGATTGAACAAACAATATGGGGCCCATATAGAAATATGGGATTCAACTGGCTTGCATAATTGTCACTGCACTTTCATTGAGGAGTTAGAGGAGGACTGATCAGCAGGAACAGTGGTGCCCATCTCTATTGTGCTAACTTTCACATGTGGTTTGAATTTCTCCACATGGCTACGCCATGAGGGGTAGCCAGTTTAACTGTGAGGTATCTACACAGAAAATAGTTGCTGACTTACTGTCATACTCAGAGCCTGATTGCAGTAGAAAGTGTCTGGGCCTCTTAGTCCATTTGTGATACAGGGAACTTTCTTTCTGTCCAAGTTAGCCAGTAGTGTATCATAAAAGCAACCTGGAAATAGTTCCTGTGTTAAACAACACTGCTGACAAATGGTAGCTGTGCTTCTCAGGAAGTTCTGCTATAAATGCAATCTATTTAGCATGAAAAATCTTGTGATATCAATATTAAATTTCATGCCAGCCCTCTTAAGCTTGATATGCAACACATCAGATATACAACAGGCTTATGTTTCTTGCAGACAAAGGCACTGCACAGGTAGGGACTGGGTGCCTGAAGTCCCCTTGCCCTTCTCTGTGTGCTGCCTATATTTTCTGTGACAAGAAGTACTGGAGATCAGCTGTGTTTTACTCATTTGCAAAATACAGTTCCAGCAGAGAGAGAACATCTGAGGTACAGCGTGTTCCAGTAAGAAAAAGAACACTTCTTATACTTGCCTTTCAGTTGGCTTGCTGGGTGGTCTTAGCCATACCACTTGCGTGCACTGTGCAGAGGAACATTTCCTAGTGTTTGTTCACCTTAGCAGAGCCCTTTGAAACTCAGGAAAGACACTTGCTGCATTTTGGCAGATTATTTTAACTTAGAAGTCATTTGAAAAAATGGCAACAGTGCTCTGCCTTAGGTAGTGTTCTCTTTATTACTAATATTTTCTGCTTTTGGTGTTCCCAGGAGAGCAAGCAGATCCCTGCAAGTTCCAGGCCTGCAACGAGTTCTCTGAATGCTTAGTAAATCGCTGGAGTGGGGAAGCTGAGTGCGTCTGCAATCCTGGCTACCTGAGCATTGACGGGCTGCCCTGCAATAGCATTTGTGATCTGCAACCCAACTTCTGCCTGAATGATGGCAAGTGCGACATCAGCCCTGGGCAAGGGGCCATATGTAGGTAGGTCATCTTCTGTTTGATGCATGTGCATTCCTCTGTCCTAGCATTCCATGGGATGTGTGCAAAATTCCTTAAGATAATGTGTAACACGTGAGATGCTAGTGATTTTCAATCATGTAACGCTGTTGAGTGGAGGTCCCAGTTTTAATGTTAGTTTTCTGAAGTTCAAAAGTGAGACAGTAACGAATTTCTTTAATAGAACAGAAATGCCAGGAAGTAAAGCTATCTACAGAAAAATAGTAGCAGTAGTGCATATTGAGTTGTTCACTACATTTTCTCTGGATTTGAGGACGGAATTTATCCTCAGAAGTTTTTCTAAGTAGCAAAGTGTTAGATAATGTCATAAAACATATTTTAGTTGACTCCAATACAAAAATCCAGATTTGAAAGGCATCCTCGTTTAGCATAGGTATATTAAATACAGTGCTTTTACTTAGGAAAAAGGTCCCACAAGGAAAGAAAGTGTTGCTAATTTGGGAAAAATAATGTTTGGTTCATATGAAAATCAAGACACATGCCTCAGATCAATTTTTTTGCTATTTAAGGTTCAGATGTGTTTAAACAGGTGTCTGTATTTCACAGGTAACTGAAATAGTGCAAGATACTGATAAATGTGCCCTCTGATACTGCACTATTTTTTCCCTTTTTATCAATGCAATAATCTGTTTTTAATAACTAATTAATTATACCTACCAACAAAAGGTAGAATTACTTAGAACAGTATGATAACTACAACTACTTATATTAGTTATTATTTGTTATATAGTTACTTATATTAATATAACTGCTTATATTAGTTCATGTGACTTTATTTTAATAAGGCTTACTTAGAACTTTAAGGAAATTAATCTTAGGGGCTTAGCGGCTAACAGGAGAAATGTTTTTTTTTTTATGATATGAAAATAGTTACTTTCACAGATGTGTATAGTGGTATAAATTTTATCACATTTGTATAATAGTGCTAACAGGAACCACATGTGCTCAGGTATGCTCTGGCCAGTACTTAGGAAGAAGTTTTCAAAAAAGTTGAAGTATCGGTTACTGCTTTTAGAAACTATTTCAGATATTTAGGTCAAAAGACTTAATTTACTGATGTTTTCTATTAATGAGGCTCACTGCTGTGAGTGGCTGTAATTCCTTGAGATTTTAGAACAAAATGCTCAAAAACATGCAATACAATATATTGTTTTTACTGGCAGATTTTAAGTAAGTCTGTATATTTTAAAACTCTGCATTACCTAAAGCTTTCATATTCAGAAATGCAGCAAAGCAGAAATTATGAATGCTGATTAAGGAAGCAATTCCAAAGATTCAGTCTTGGGAGCAAGCTTCTTCCTAGTCATTTCTTTTATGTATTTACCTAACCATTGTAGAGTTTACACAGTATGAGCATTTTGCTCGTTTAACACACACTTATGTGTATTTGCATTACAGTAGCATTAGAAGGTTGTTTTCTACCTTTGTAGTGTTTGATACATTACCTGCAAGGCTCTATCAGTGCATGAGTTTTTATTTAGTCTAAACACTTCAGTTGTAGCACATCACAGGATGCTCTGAATAGCAAGTTTGCCACCACAAATGCATTATCCTTTTCTTATTCTACCTATCTTCACTCAATTCAGCTGTGAATACCAAAAGGCTGTTGCCAATAGCAATAAAAAAATTGGTGCTCAAACTTGCGAAGGCATTTATTTGTTGAGGTAAATTAACTGAGGGTACGTCACAAGAATAAATTAAATACATTTGTATTAATCAAAGATGCAGTTTTTGTTGACGTTTAATTTCCTGGCGTTTTTTTTTTTTGCAGGTGTCGCGTAGGAGAGAACTGGTGGTACAGAGGGGAGCACTGTGAAGAATATGTGTCTGAGCCACTGGTCGTGGGTATTGCCATTGCTTCTGTGGCAGGATTCCTTCTGGTGGCATCTGCTGTTATCTTCTTCTTGGCAAGGACCCTTCGAGACCAGTACACAAAGAGCGACACCGAGGACTCACAGGGGTATGTGACACCATCTAATGTTACAAAGCTCATCTGCCACAGTAAGGATAATTCCATCATAAGTCTTGTATCGTGCAGCTGACCAGCAGCAGGGTTTATACGCACCTCCGAGTGCCAGGCTTCCTTAGTCTGTCTGCTGCCGTTCTGGGCTGCAGAGAAGCTCACTGTTTGTTCATTGCTCCCCCAGGCAGGGTGACAGCCTCTCGTCCATTGAGAACGCAGTTAAATACAACCCCATGTATGAAAGTGATACGACTGGCTACAGCCATTATTATCGCAGATACCCTCAGCTAACGTCCTACAGTTCTACCAGTGCAGAGACATCCACCGACTACAGCAGTGAAGAGATAAGGCACATTTATGAAAACAGTGAGCTTACTAAGGAGGTAAATGACCTTGTTTTCATAATGCCATCGAAAAGATCTCGTGAAAAATAAGCTTTTTGAACAATTGCAATTTGAGGCCTCAGTCTTTCTCAAGAGTCTATGCTCTAGATAGACAACTATGGCTGCTGCAACTATTAAAGAGAAGAGAGAAAGCAGGGAAAGAAATCCTTTCTATCAGGTATACAGAAAGGAATGCGTGTTCTGACTTGTAATGAATTTCACGTGATAAAAGAGCTGAATACTTAAATAACTGCACAAGGGCTGCAGTGGTTTGCTTTTGTGCTAGACATGGCCTTTAGCTTTTGATGCCAGCTGACATGCAGGAATCATCAAAAATGCTGTAAAAATCTGGAACCTCCTGGCCTCTAATGTAGGGTTTTTAAAGCTTAGTGCTTCTTAGTATAACCTGCAAGTTAGATCATACTGTCCTCCTACCTTGTTGTATAGGTGGTATCCAGGATTCACTGTGGAGGAGAAGGGATTTACATCCAGAAGCAAGCCACAAATTCTTAAGCAATTGTGAGAGGTGTGAATCCAGCCTGTAGCCAGGGTTGTGGGGAAAGTGTCTGTGAGAGAGAAATGGTTCTGTTCAAGCCAGTTGAAATGTCACATTCTATCCAAACCCTGGTTTTAACAGTAAAATATGTCTAGATTCCAAAACTGAAGTGCTCCACTTTTAAAAATAGCACAAAGAAGAATTTTAGCCCTGGACTGTCCAATTTCAAGGTCTCCTCATTGAAACAGCAAAGGATATGAGTTTTATTTTCCAAGAAAAAGAAATAGATAGTTTCAGTAGTACTCTAATTTCTGTTATGTACCTAAAATTGTCTTTCTTGTATTCTAGGAAATTCAGGACAGAATTCGAATTATAGAGCTCTACGCTAAGGACCGTCAGTTTGCAGAGTTCGTTAGGCAGCATCAAATGTGAGTGAAATATCTTGTCTGCATAATTCCTTTGATATTTTCTCATGTAACCTTTACTACATTACTATATTCTTCATATGAAGGGCCTGGAAATGCTGGAGCACTAGAAGTTAAGATTTCAGTACTTAGGCTCAGAGGCTCAGAGTACTTAGTTTAATCACTGTCACAAGCAGGAAGTTATGTTAAAAATGGTGAAGAGGAATCCTGCAGTTAATGGGTGTCAGAGAAGCACTGACATCAATTAGGTCCTGAACGCACATATAGAATCTTCCTAACTCTTTTAGTGTAGGTGCTGCTGTTACCTGTTTTATTTAGAAGAGAAATTTTTAAAAGCATGTTAGTTCATCTCGAGTTTGCAAGACTTGACTTGGCAGCTAAACCAGCAGGTCACTAGTGCAGTACTACCATCTGATATTGTGGGCATGTTATCAGAACAGAAAGTGTACAGTTCTGACCAGTTAACCAAGCTGAGTTGTGTGCTTTGATGAAAGTCAAGCATGGGAAAGGCTATCAAGGAACTAAGTGTCGGCATTCAGTCTCCTACAAACTGTATTATTGCTGTAGCAATAAGAAAATCATGGATATCTCTGTTCACTTAAAAGATTCTGCAGTGCAGTTCCTTGGGATCAGGTTAAAAACAGCTGCAGTAGCACAACCCCTGTGTTCCAAAGTCCGCATCTACTGTTTTGTTTTGTTTTTTAATTGAAAATAACTGCAGTTCACATTTTTTCATGTCACTTGTTCATATTTTCATCTTGAGACAGATCAGCTTCTAAATTTTCCACAGCTGGAAAGTAGAAAGGGCTGCCTCATATAAGCCTTGAATCCAAAGCTTGAAAAAGAAAGAGACTAACTTAATCATTGCTTCTCTGTTTTTCATTTCAGGAAGCTGCTTTAAGAAAAAAAAAAAAAAAAGAAATCAGTAGAGAGCACGTGGAAGATAAAGACTACCTTGTTGCCATAGCAATGGGCTCAGTTGTAACTGCAAAGTTACTTATAGTCTTAACATTGCATGGATGGATACAGATGTTTTCTAAATGAATGGCTGAAATGTACAGATGTCTGTTTATCTCAATTACCTCTGGCTTCTCTGCTTAAAGTGACATTTTTAAGAGGTAATCAGAAGTGACAGAGGTTATGAAAGTTCATTTTTCATTAACTCTGAAATGGACAGTGGTAATTTGTATACCAAGGCAAAAAAAAAAAAAAAGTCTCCTCAGAAAAGAGAAGATACGTGCACAAATTAAAAATAAAAGGCACCTTTAAAATTCTGTCTGGCATTTATCCCCTCACTGGAGTCTACTGTAGTGAATTCACAAGTACAAAGCGCTAGTGGAAAGAATGTGGTTTGCACGTGAATGGTTTGTAGGAGAGAAGAACAGTGGTAGAAGGGTGTTAGCATTATTTTAAAGCATTCCCAGCATAAACACAAATGTAACCTCATTGGAAAAGATGTTATTTTACACACAACTGCCTGATTAAACTTTTGACACCTGGCATTAGCAAAACAGCACAATGCTGGGGCTGCAGCCCTCTGAAATGCTCTCTCCACACATTAAGTGTCACTGCTGGCTTGCAGTGGCCACATCTGGTGCTGGAGCACAACAGGGCACTCCTTCTGCAATAATGTCACAATGGATGGCACTCCAACTGTTCCTGAAAGACACACGAGCAGGGGCACAGAAGGCCTTCTATCATACAGATGTTGTGTAAAAGTTAAGTGACCAACATTGACTTTTTTGTACATAGATAATTTGTTGTTAAGATGCATTGTTTATTTGTTGTGTATTTCCTTATCAGCTTATTTTCAAAACGGATTTGACTGCTGAAATAGAAAGATGAGTAGGTTAATGACAAAATACTACAGTGATGTTTGTGCCCATCTTTTTAAAACCATAGTTAGTATTTACTCAGTGTTGAATTCAGCCAAATATTGGTTACGTTTTCTTTTCTGAACTGAGCAATACTGACCCACCATGAACTGTGTTTCAAAATCAAGCTGTGGTATTTATATGCATAAATATTTGCTGAATGGCAATAGTTTCTTAGGAAGAAGGGGAAAAGCCAGGGTAGTCCTTCTCCAGCAGAAGCAGCCCTCCTGAAGCATTTTAGAGCAACTGAATAGATATGGGGACCTTACAAGGTACAGAAACTGCATTTTATCTTGAAATTCTAAAGAGAACTTTGACCACCTGTTAAGGTATGTTGGAGCTCTGGTTAGACAACATTTATGTTGTTAAGGGACTAACACTGCAGTCAGGGCTAGGGCACTAACAGTCTACAGTAGCTTCTACCTACAAACAAGTCCAAGATGCTTGTTGTCTTTACAAAAATAATTGTAGCTCTCTGCCCACATGTGCCAACAGCCACACAATATTTTTACAAGCTCAGTGTTAGTGAGAATTACTTACTTGACTATAGGCTGATTTATCTAAGCAAGTAAAGACTTCAGTGCAATTTCTCTGTGTGTTTTGGAGAAACTTGGTGGATAACTTCCATGGTATCTTTTTGTCTTGAGGGGCAGCAAATAGTGAGCAGAGCTGCAAATCTGTCAAAGAAAAGTTTACAGAAATCACTGTAAGCCCAAATAATACAAGGCAGTGGAATACGGTGCAGATCAATACTGTTGTGACCAGGTGTTAGAAGACAGAGGTGACACAGTGTGATCCAGTGCTCTCAGGGCAGCTGGGATCAGATACGTCTTAACGGTACTCAACTACCTGCTGGACACACTCTTGGTTACACTGAGCTTGTGGTATTTCAGTGTATATACCGTGTCTCTTTCCTGTTTGTGTGTGTGTACCTATAAGCATAATGATATTTTCACTACAATAAAATACAATTTCCAAAATGCTTTTTCTAGAAAATTGATGTGGAGACTGTGAGTTTGACATGAAGAAACGACGTGTCTTAGCCATGAGGAGTTGTGCACACAGTGGCAGAAAGCTTGGCGTTTGACTTCTTTCAAGACTGAGTTGGTTAAGCTGTTGAGCTCATTGCTAGCACAAGTGCCAAGCATCATTCTTTATCACTTTCAGGTTTATATTCTGAAAATTCATGCTGCAAAACACGTAATGAAGGGCTTTGCTTTCTACTATGATCTTTGCTCATCATAAGGCTGTGTTGGCTCTAATTAAAGAACCAAAACATGTTACTGAGGGGATCTTGATGTCTTAACAAAAGCAAAGGACCCCTCCTCCTTCAGACCTTCTCCCATGAACTCTGATGATGCATCTCACAATATGTCACAAAGAGCCTAATGTCTTGTTTTAAAGAGTTTCCCAATCAAAGGCAGAGACAAAACCCTCTAAATATCCTCATAAAAACAAACCAAGCTCTGTATAAAAATCTATCAGTACTTGCTATTAATTAACACAAAATTTTTCACTTGTGGAAAGTCAAAAAGCACAGGTCTGAATATTGGGCACACATAAATAATAAGAGCACACATAAAGACAGTTTATGTTTGCTTATCACAGACAGATCCATCAGCTTGTGTTGACCATCCATAGCCCTCAGGCTTGAAACAGATGAAAACGTGGCCCTCCACAACACCGCCAGCTGTCCCCTCACAGAGGCTCTCAAACAGTAGCCACACATTTCAGACCTGCAAAAAGCACTGGGGGTAAGCTCAGCCTTTACCAGTCAAGCCTGTCACTCACATCCCTGATCAGACCTGCAGGAATGGGTCCTTCTTGAGAGAGGCAGCACAAGGAATAGGAAAGAACTCCAAACTCTCTCCCACCCTGTGTCTGTGAGCAACAGAGATGCAAAGGTGCTACAGCTGCACAGCAGGGACAGGCATCTCCTCCTGGTAAAGCAAAAACTCAATGCCAGTATATTTGTAAGCACTCTAGGACAGACACAGACTGACTTTGCACAGCATGTGGAATCCAACAGAGTGTTGTCACTCTTTAAGTATTGGTAGTTATGCCCAGCAGCTTCCTGGTGCTTTCTGGTTACTCAAAGCGTGCTACAGCACCAGCAGCAGTACTGCCTTATCTTTCCACTGCTTGATTCAGTTTGGGATCAGCAAGTTGATGTTCTACATAATATCCATCCACTTGCTTTTGTTTTTCAAATGAAAAAAAAAAAAAAAAAAAAAAAAAAGAATCCAAAGCTTTTTCTGAGACAGGAAAGGCATTTTTTATATCTGTCATTCCAAGCTGGGAAGTTTTGTTTTTGCCACATTCAACGCTAGCTGGCTCTCCTGCTCCAGATTATGAATGACTCCAGGAATTTCAGCTCACTTCCCGTCCTCTTGGGCTCTCCCTTGCTGCCTGTCACCCTCCCTTCCTGCTGCTTCACCACTGCACTTTGCAGTGGGAAACACTCTTGCAGCAGGCAGCTCTGGTTGGGGGATGACAGCAGGTTGTAGGACAGAAAGTGAGAGCTTGCCTGAGGTGCTGCTGCTGTTCAGGAACAGCTGAACACCATTTCCAAACCTGTGCTTTTAGTTTTCCTGCGTTTTCAATTCAACATGAAGACAGATTTCAAACCTTTCTCTTTCAGGATGAAAAATGCCCCCCACTGCTGGAATTTTCTGAAACACTTGCCAACTTATTTTTTGAAAAATCAGACTTGCTGTCAGCACATCTAATGACTATGTTAATGTATTATTAAAAATGTAGGTCACAGCTACAATTGAAGCCTGTCCTTTCCTTAAGGAGATCCCCTCACCAGGTGGTGTCATTTATACAACACAAACAACAACAACAACTACAATCTGTCTTGAATCAGAGGAGGTGGAAATGTTAGCCAAAAGTCTCCTATTAAACACAAATCAAGAGTTAGTGTTAACTGGAGTTGTGATTGCATCTCCACAGCTGATTACCAGATGGGGAAACTATGCCTTTCTGGAAAGGCTGACCTAGTTTGAACAGAAATAAAAGCAGTAACAATAAGGGATATGGCCATACGTCAAGGCTTTATGCAGTAATGCGGGCAAGCAACTGGATGAAAGAGGGCAAGAGCAAGGGCAGTCCCAGCAGTGTGCATACAGGAGGTCCCAAGAGGATTACACAGCAACTGAATGGCCTCTCATCCCAGAGAGGAAGAGGGTGCTTCCAGTAGCAGCATGGAGCTCAAGCCTCCTTAGCATGACCTACAGGTAACCACTGGCTGTGGTCCTTCCTCATAGTCCAGTCACCAGCTCAGTAAGGGAGTGCCTGTGGTTCCCTTCCCTATCTCCAGATGGTGTATTAGCGAGTTTTGATCCACAGAAATGCTCTATATGGTTCCTCAATAAACCACAGATTGCTGCATAGCATTTTTCTTGCTTCCACACAGAATCACTGTGCTTTGTGTTGATTCTTAAAATTCTGATTAAAATCAGCAACAACGTCAACAAAAAGCCGCCTTCCCACAGCTTCATTTTTAGGGCTCGCTTTCTGTCTGCTCCTCTACACATAGCTGAAAGCTCACATCCAGCCTTGGTGGGAACACAGCGTGATTCAGGACAGCTCCTCCAAGAGATCTCACTGTGCCCATCTCCCTCCCACATCAGCATGTACAATGACAGCTCCTGCTTGCCTGTGTTACAGACATCAAACCAGCCAACACACCCCCTGAGAAACATCCTCCCAAGGCTTGAAATGAGCAGACACGCGAAGGCTGACCTTTCAGAATAGTCCAGCCTCTTGTATTATGCATACAGGTCTGGGGTGGGAGCTGTCATGCCAACACTGAATACACTGAGCTAACAAAAAGCAGAATTAGTGGGCAGATGACAGAGTAGACTGACTTTGGGGCCATCTCTTAGAACACAACATCATTCCATTGATTTTTAAAAGGGTAAACCACAGAAGGCTTTGCACTTACCTGCCAAAAAAAGGAAAAATGAAGCTGCTGGTAAGGAATTTGGAGCAGAGAACCAGGCCACAGCCTGCAGGCAGCACAAACCAGTCTCCTGAAAGGGATCATTCAGCTGGAAAAGATGGAAGAAAGAAGGGTTAGGAGCTCTGCCGTAAATTAAGAGGTTATTCTCTTTACTTCTTCTTCTACTTAAGAAGAGGAGAAATAACCCGGAATCGTTGTAGTTTGGTATGTGTTCAAGTCAATAAGCAGCTCCTGGTGAAGTATCCCTAATACTAATTAGTGAAGGAGAGGAAAAAACTCTGACCATGGCCCAGTCAAGCACTTTGCAACCTATAGCAGACATGCGCAGAGACAAACAGGAAGAGGAACTACCAAATGTGTATTCAGC